CCGGAGCGGTCATCTGGGTTAGGAACAGCACTGGCTGTCCAAAATTACCTCATTTTGATGACAGCTTAATAGCAGAAACTCTTCAGTGGCTGCTGTTTAAGCCTTCACATGCTTTTTTCTTTATTCATAACCTAATGCTATGCTTATTCTGATAGGGTTTAAATACTAAAGCAAACTTTTCACTAGATTGCGTCACCTTGCATTTGCCTCTCAGCCCTGCTAGTGTCAGAAATGACATCTGGTGTCAATGAGGTGGCTGTCTTTGGCACTGTATTTAAAAATGGCTGCTATACGGTCTTTGTGCTAAAACTCATAGGGTTTTAGGCTTAGCAATAGCTGCACTTCCTTTCCTTCAATTTTCTTGTTGCTTGGGTGATCAAACGAAAACTCAGGCTGTTTTGGAGGGGGGGAAAGACTTGGGGGGGGGGGGAGGGGGTGAGCATGGAAGTTAGATCTGACTTAGGCTCTGTTCTGTTGCATGCAAGTAAAGCCTGGAAGAAAACGTTTCCTGGGCCTGAAGAAGGGGGAGAATAGCGGATGTTTTCCTCCTTTTTTTTTTTTTTTTTTGCTGAGATGCTATGGGAGCAGCAATTGAAACCATCTGGGGTAAGGTCTCTTCTCTTGAGATGCAGAGCTGGAGGTACAAGGAGCTGGTGGTCAACTGGCCCACTTATGTGTGAGCGTTTGTAATATTTCCCAATGCAGTCACCTACCCTGCGTGCTCGCTGCAAGAGTAACATCAGGACCTTTTGCAAGGTGCATGGACTGACACGGAAAGCCTCAGCCTTAATCTCATGTTCGGCAGAGATCCCAGCTGCAGAAAGTCAGCAGCAAGATGCTGCAAATGCGGGACACTTCTCTAGGCTATGGATGAAAAGATAACCAGCATTTCCCCACGTCTTGTTAGCACTCGATTATTCTCCACCGTGCTGCGATCGCTCGTTGCTGTGGTGTCACTACTGCTGCGAGATATGGCACATACTGTTTATTACACAGCATTGACACGAACAGCTCCAGCAGAATCACACTTGTCAAATAAAAGGGGAAAATATTTGATGCTGCATCTGACATTTCAAAAAAAAAGAAATTAAAAGACTTCTTGCAAATTAGTTGTTAACATGAATTAGAGGTTTTGCCAGTGGTAGGAAGGGAGGGAAGCGCCGGCTGGAGAGGATTAGACCAAACGAGCTCCTGGAGAAGGGGGGGCAATGGAAAACCTGCCCTGCTTTTACCTGCCTGAGGTTGCTGCTTTCGTAGCAGGAGCTGATTAAAGCATATAATTGCTCTTGAACCAGAGTCTTTGCTGCTGTATTGCTATAAACTACTACAGAACAACATTCTTCAGCTACATGTTCTACTGAGTGTGCTTTGGCATCCTGAATCACAGGAAAGATCTAATGATAGACGTGGAGATGTACATTTTTATGATCTCTTTGGCGCAGAAAGCAACGTGAAAAGCAGGGGGAAAGTAACAGAACGTCCTGTGTTTAGGTTTTGCTCTTTAATGATCAGTTTGAGTGTGGTCCCAAAGTAAGAATAGGCGGTATTGCGGTAGTGCGTGTTTGGGATGAGACTATATTTGGGCTGTGCTCAAGTCCCCTCATCGCCTCTGCCACGTTTTGGGTTTTGTTTTGTTTTCTGAGTCTGGAAAATTCCTTGGTCGCCATGTTTCTAAACTATATTTTCATTTACCTTGTATTACGTTTTGATCAGCAGGAGATTAAGCAGGGATTTATGTCTAGGGATGAAAAAGAAGAAAAAAAGAATAACACAGAGACCCCAGCTGTCTCCTAGATGTTCCACAAGGCACAGGACACTGGTCGGTGTGTGCTGGGGCACTCGGCGGTGGATCTCTTTCAGCGATCAGATGTACTAGGTGCTCTTCCAAAATAAGACATATTCTTGCGCCAAAACCATCTTACACTTGCTCATATTGAAAGGGCTAAAGAGGCTGAGCTGTGGGTAAGGTCGGTGACTGTGGTAGGACGCAGCCTGGGAGATGAGAAGTAAATACGTGCCGTACCCAGTGGCATACTGTTACACCCGCTTTATTTTGTAAGAAAAACTCTTCTTAAATTGCTTTCTTTTCCTTAAAAGCACACATCCTTCATCTTGTAAGGACTGGTTGACTCTCCCTTGAACGCCAGAATATGCCTGATTATACTTAGCGTAGTTTGCTGATTCAGACTTGGAAGTTTTGCAGGTTCAGGACTGAGTTTCTTTCTAGAAGCAGCACATTTTGCATTGTTTCTACACTACTCCTTGAGCTATTTGCCTAAAACAGAGCTTCAGGCTTTATGCTGGATCACCTCTCTTGATAGCTAAGGTTTTATAAGTTTCTTTTTTCTTTCTTTAATAAACAGGTTTAGCCTACCAACTGTAACTTAGTTTTATTGTTTGAAAACTTAATTATTCAAATCAAATATAGCAGCATTCAAATCAAAGATAACCTGAAATGTGGCTGAGGGCTGGTGCAGTGAAACCTGTTCTCTCAGTACCACATTACGGTCCAAAATGGTTCCCTTTATTCCTTAGACCCGCTCTTGAATTTTAATGCAAGGGCCATGAAAGTCAAAGGTTGAGAGGGGATTCTTCAGCAAGGCTCATGGTGTGAATGTATCGTAATTCTGCGTGCAGAGAAGTATTGCAATGTTTTTAAGCATATCCTCTCCCATAATCTGTAAGGTGAGCCCAAAGACCTTCTCCTGGAGGAAACCCAAGACCTGATGAGCTCCTTTATTCATCAAGTAAATCTGATGGTATGTAGCCAGGAGGTTGGTAGGGGCTGTGGTTACCATTAGCAATGCCAATATCCAGAGCTGGCACCACAATGGATTGACCGTGAAGGGGGAAGAGCTGGAGAAGTGGCTTGCAATGGAGTTGTGCAGGAGCTACAGGGCAGCACGTAGCGTTTGGGCTAATTCCTCTTGAAAGTGAAGGCTGTTGCAGGCTAGTGGCTGTGTTTTATGCCATTACAATGATAAAGTATTTTTTTTTAAAAAAAAAAAAAGGTAAGTTATTTTTTTTGTTAAAAAAAAAAGGAGAAAAGAGGTCTGAAAAGTTATTTCTAAATGTCTTGTTAAAATGCGCAATCGGCATAACACTACAGCTCCAGTTTATTGTTACTTTGGGCAAATAACATGAGGGAGAGCATCTGGTGGTATAAATTGTTATGGCCTATTGAAATCAGTGGAACTATGAAAAACTTACACAACCCATGGTCTGCCTTACATCTGTAACAATTTCGGGCCGTTTCATTGTGTTGCAAATGCTTTAAGGCAGCAGTGGCTTGTATGAAATGCATTCGAGCTTGTTTCCTGTCATTTGTCTTATTTTGGAGGATTTACCGGCACTACCTACAGTTCCAGCTTTCCTTGGAAATGGGTTCCAAGGAGGCTTTTGGAAAGTATGTGGCCAGGGGTTTGGACAAGACGGGGTTTCAGTGACATGGTGTTGCGTTGATGTGCCTCTTTGCTGAGGCTCTTGAGTAGCTTAGGGTAGCATCAATAATTTGGTTGGGTCCTTGACGGAGAAGGCTTTCTCCATCGCCATCACATATGTCAACTTTACCTCAATGTTAATCAGCAGTCCATCTGATAACATGTCCCCTTTACTATCTTTTGGGATGAATTATTTGATACACTTTTTTTTTTTTTATTTTTTTTATTTACTTTTCTTGTTCCCTGGCAGGCTCCTTACCCCTCAGGACAGAATGCAGCTCCAACCACATTGGTGTACCCTCAAGCCCCTCAAACAATGAACACCCAGCCTCAGACCCGCTCGCCGGTAAGGGAGCCCATGTTTGCATTATCTTACGTTCTTTCTTCCTCGTTTGTGTGTTTCTCTGTGTGTATGTGTGTGTCAGTAGCGCTTGGCCGGTTCTCTGGAAGGCGTGTTTTACTGAACTGGAAGCATGTTCCAAATGGCAAATCTTGATTGAATTTTTCAGACACTGTCCTGGTAGGATAATTTTCCTTCTAAAGTGGCTTATGAGAAAAGAAGCGATGGAGGGTTTCTCATCTACGTTCAAATAACACAATTTATTTTTAGCATAGTTGCTTTCAGGTTCACTTCATTTTAGAGTTTAGATTCATTACCAGAATCTTTCTCTTGTCTTCATTTTTTTTTCTTTAAGGAAGTATTTTGTAAAGTGATAGACCAAACAAAAGCGATTCTCTGCAGCAGCACTTAGTCTCCAGTGACCTCTGGGCATTACTTCCAAATCCGTGCCACTGGATCAGTTCTAACAGTTTACTGCCTAGCACCCTGTAGGTGCTCATGCATTTAACGTAGAGCTTCTGGGTACCCAGATCTTTTTGTAGTAAGCCCTTTTTTCATCCAACTTCAGGCTCAATTGTCCTCTGTAATCTTTTTGTGTGTGTGTGTGTGTGTATTGTAATGCCGCTCTGTTATTGTAGGACTTTGGTTCCCCAAACCAGGCTCTTTTTGGGGAATCTGCTCTGTAGTGCAGTTCCACACGATGGTAGGAGACCCTGCTAGGACATCACATGCTTAGCCCAGCTTCTGGAGGCACGGTAGCTTACCATCACAACACCTCAAGCTTCAGTTAGCCAAGGGAGCAGCAATCCCTGCGCCTCTTGCAAATCCACATCTGCGTCGTAACGCTTTCAGGATACCTATAAAACCACTGCGCCCTTCCCAGCACTCTTCTCTTTTTAGAATAAGATGAACGCTGCTGAAGCGTGGCAACTGAAAGCCTCCGAGACAGAAGTCTTCTGTTTGTCCACATAACAGGTATATATATATACACACACAGGGCAAGCTTTCCCCCCACGTGCAGCTGCACCGATGCACTTGCCCTGCTTCTGGAGGTTTTGCCTCCAGGGGATTCGCAGGAGGGTTAGTTTGGAGGCCTGTGAACCTCTGTTGATGAATGAGCCAATTAACACCAGTTTTGATGAAGTTTCTGTGATGTGGACAGCTGTGAATTTGTAACCGGACCCCCCCCCAACCTCCTTAGTCCCCCATTCTGATCAGTAACATGGGATACTGATGGTAAAACCCCCTCTTTTCTCAGTAAGTATAATCGTCTTCTTTATCTTTAATTGTTGAAAAGCGCAAATAAGTTTATATGGTTAGAACTGGAGCAAAAACCTGACTGAAGAGCTGCATCTCTAAACCAGTTTTTTTGACAGCCCAGCAGAACAGTGCCAATACATTGCACAGACAACTGGAAGAGGAGGAAGGTTTTGGAACAGAGTCCGGTTTACAGGTCCCTGGCTGGAAGAGGCTGGATAAAATACTGCATTGTAAGCAATATAACAAACTGTACTCCTTCTTGCAGGCAATTGTGCCCATGGCACTGTTTTTATTTCTTCCTTTCTTTCTTTATTATTTTTTTTACCACGTTTTTTTTGTTGGCTGATCTACAGAAATGCACTGATTTTTGCTTCTTTGCTAAAAGCATGAGCTACCGTGGCAGTTTCTGCCTGGTTAAGTGGCGACGCAAGGTCCAAAGCTGAATGGCAGTTGGGAGGGTCTGACCTGGCGTAGGACAGAGACCAAGGCGACTTGGGGCTTGCCGCTCGACAGATAATGTCTTCAGGAAATTTGTCTGGAAAACATTGTAAAATTGTAGGGTTTTGGCCACGTTACTGAGGAGGTATCGAGGAAGAATTTGTCTGCAGTTGTCAGCCATTTTTCCTTTTTTTTTTTTTTTTTTTTTTTAAACTCTCCTGTATGCAGTTTTGGCTATCCGCTCTGCTAGTGACCATTTTCATCCCCATTACTAAAAGCCACACCCATAACATCTCATTTCACCTCCCCACCCCAAAACAAATGCAAGACTAGCCCAGTCCTGAACTACTCTTGCATTTTGTTCTGGGCTTGATTTACCTTTTTTTTTTTTTTTTTTTTAATTATTATTTTTTAATTTATTTTTTAACTGTCTTTTTTGGTGGCGAGGGGAGGGTGAAGAGGGGACAAGGAAGGTGGCAGGATGCCTTTGCCATCCCTAGGCTTCTGTAGCACAGTCCCGTCTGTCACACAGCTGGTACGGCTGGTGTGGGTAAGTAGGCTGTTGCACTAACGAGGTTGATCCTAACCCTGCTTCCTCAAGCAGCCGGAACTTGCTCCATCCTGTTTCTGCATCCAAGGGCCATTGGAAATTGCAGGGTTCAGGCTTTTCTGTTCCTTCCAGGACAGCTGCCTTTGCAATCCAACTGGCTTCATGTTTTCTCCCTGTTAGCATCGTAGCATCACTCCGATAGCGAGAATTTCAAAGTGTGGCTCTCCAGCCGGGGGAAGGAAAACGCTATCAGAGTCGTTCAGCACTACTGAAAAAATATCTGTTAGCTCTTGCCGACGCCAGCCCCAAGCACCAGGTGATTAAACACAAACTGCCCAATTCTAGGAGGTCTGCCAAAAAAAAAATGTGATTGGAGAGGGTGTTGGAGTGATCCAGGAGTGGTTATTTTCCAAGAGGCTTAAGGTGTGCCAGCTGAACATCAGCAGAGAGGGAACATGCCCCACTGCCCACAAAGCGGTGAGCAGGACCAGAGAGAGTGTGAGTGGCAGAAACGGACCCAAGTTTCATAAAGAAGTTTTGCCTTTCTATCTTTGTTGGACAGAGGGGAAAAAAAAAAACAAACCCAAAGTGTCTATTTTAATCCAAGCCAGCAGTGACTACAGTTTGTTCTGTTGCTTACAGCTACTAATAGGAATAAATCCTATCAACCTGAATTATTTAAGAAAAAATGAAAAAAAAAAAAAGATCAATAGCCAATGGTGACCAGTGCCAAACAGCTTAGGGTATTTTTCACTAACTTTGAGGTTTTATTTTATTTCTTTTGTTTTTTTTTTTCTTGTAACGCATATTACTTTTCACCATGGAATATACTTCAGCTTCTTAAGATACAAGCTTCCAGCTCTTGTTTTAGACACAGTGAGAACAAATCTTTTCTGTGGAACAGTGATAAGAGAGGTACTTTGGCCCTGAAATTAAGCAATGCAAGGTTTTTGTGCCCCATCATTCTCTTTTTGATTAATTTTTTTTCATTGGTGTGTAACATGGAGCGTGTAGCCCGCCGGAAAGGCTCATGTCAGCCCTTCCAGGGTAAGCTTTACTCCCTTTTCTCAACCACAACAGATTTGAACTGGTTTTGAGGAGTTCTTCCTAAAGGAGAGTAAGGACTTGAAGCACATTCACCTCCTGAAACTCGTCCAGGTGCCCATTTCTCATCGCTGTAGGAGCCACCGGTAGAGCCACCGTCCTCTTCACGCCCTGAGCTGTGGGAGGATGCAGAGTCCCCGAGCGCTTCTGTCTCGCGGTTCATATTAAAGTAGAAATTTTAGCTCTTTACTCTTACAAGATGATCACATTTTGCTTTTTTTTCTTTAATGTAAGGCTTAGGGGAAATGTTCAAGGGTGGGAAAACTGTTGAATCAGCGCAGGTCATTCTTTATAAACTCTTGTACTAGAAATAGTCTGTGTGTGCATATTTTCTCGTTTCTGAAGGTTTTTATGACTTCTCATCCAAGTGTTCCGGGGAAGTGAAGGTAGAAGGAATACATAAACACCAGTATTAGCAGACTAGCTGGGAGGTAGAGCTGCAAGTGAACCCCGGTCCACTTTTTCTTACTGAAAAAACCCTCTTCTTAATCAATAATTAGTAGCCAGTTTTGATCACTCTTCTCAGGCAGAAAGTAAAACGTGCCAAGTCCCTGTAGTGTGAATTAGCGGGGCTGGACTGTCCTGTGTGCTTTGGCACGTGCCGTACATTATGAAGCCGTCACAGCTAGCAACAGGTAGAGGCATGCGGTGGGTAAAAAGCTGCCATGGGATCTAGTTTCATTTGCTCTGTTTAATTATTGGAGCTATTATCAATAGATTTATCTGCTCTCATTGTGGAGCTCCACTGATTACACTGAGAATTCAGAGTTTAAGGACCTCACTCGGCCTCTGGAAGAGGATACCTTGTCATCTTTATTTCTATTTTCCATTTCTTGCATTCATTTTTATTTCTATTTTAACAATCAGTTACTTATTGGAAAATGCTTTTAATGTTTACTGACCATGTTAAATTCTGATTACTTTCCTCCTGTGTGTAACCCAAGTGGGTGGGAAGTGATTTAGTAACCCGAGCTCAGGGCTGGGAACCAGGACCTCCCATACTCCAGCCAAGCTCTGCCGCTGATGCCTTCAGCTCCCCAGTGATGTCGCGGGTTACTCTGTCCCCTTCGCTTTCAGATGGGGGGGACAAATCCAACTCATTAAGGGGGGTTATATTGTGATCGTTATGGGGGGTAGACGGGGAGGAAGCTGAAAAGGAAATTGCACTGTATGTCCATGCAAAGAATGGCTGATCACTGCCTTACAGGGAATTTCTCACCGCCCCCTTGCCAGCAGGACACGAGCTGTGCCTACCTGGCTCTTAACTCTTCTCCAGCCACAAGTCTCCATCCTCTGCTCCCACCAAATATTTGGAATGGCCCTGAGTCCAGCTGCCTTAACCATTCTACCTCCACCTTAAACAGTTTAAAGTCTCCACTACTGCTTGTTTTAAGTTGGATTTTGGTTTGGTTTTTCTTTTTTTTTTTTTTTTTCCCCCAGGCAGGCTAAGGAACGCCTGCGTTCATACACTAGAGTATCTTTAAAACATGTAGCAGCTCCGGCTGTTTATCTAGCAGCTCTCGAGCAGCACACTTCCCCCATAGTGACGTTCACTTGTTAGATCTCAGTACCTGTCTGTCACTGTCCTGCAGCAAAGCTTTTGACTGTTTCGTGGTGGTTTTGGTTTGGTTTTGGTTTTTTTTACTTTTCTTTTCTTGTGGGTTTATTTTGCATAGAGTGTGACATTTTGGTTTCGTTGTGGTGTTTCTGACTCTTTGTGCCTTTCCTTTTGTGTTTGTTTCTCCCGCCTTTCCTCAGTTTGCAGCGGGGCCTCGACCTGCCCATCACCAGGTACAGTACCCTGCCCCTTCATTATCATCCTAAACTAATTGGCTGGGGGAGGCGGGTGGTTGGAGGTCATTCACCCACTAACTCAGAACGAAGGCTCGCTTCGGAAATCAGCTCCCTTGGTAGATACTAGCACATGCGTAACCCTGCTAACAAGCTGCCTGCAACGCAGAGTAACGCTTTTAATTCTCAACTGATGTCAGTGTGCTCATTAACCACCCCACTTAACGCCGTTTGCATAGGAAAGGAGAACCTGTAGAGATCGTTGCCAGGTATTGGTGAGATTTGCTTGCCTAGAAACTTTGCGGAATATTTTCCAAACTAGTCGGTGGATTAAGTTGCCTGAGCTGAAGATGTCAACAAGAACCAGGCGTTCATATCCCTGAGAAAATCCTACTTTCCAAACTCAGAGCAAGGCAAATCCCTTCCAATTCATACGTTTCTTGTGTGATATGCCTGGTTATCTGTTATCGCTCCGTTGCTTAACGTTGTGTTTACTCACCCTATTCCAAACATTTAGGAATCTTTGTAGTGTTCCTGTTGCATGACTTGGACCTTGTAAAGAACCATTTAAGTAAGAAGAATGAAAATTAGGAATAGCTCTGGCTCTCGAAACTCATGGGCAGTGCTTATTAGGGTGGCAAAACCACCCAGAGGACCTCTTCAGCATCAGGACAGTTGCACAGGTCCCTTCTGCCCTAGTCAAGGTGCCCAAAGTTGTCTTTTCTGTCAACTCCTACATTCATCTTTGCCAAAACCCTTTTGCCCTGGGGACTGATTTTGCTTCTTGTAGCTTTTGAGGGGACAGAGGTGGTGCTGATGGATGGAAAAGAGAAGGAGAGGCATGGCAAGTGCAGGAAAGCTCTCCCAGGTACGGTTGTTTCAGCATCACTCTTCCTTCTCTGTGCTTGGAAGGAACAGGTTGTTTCCACCAAGTTAATGGGGGGGGAGGGCGGGGGGGGAATCCCATTAACTCCAGTGATGTCAGGACAGGGGCTTAAGTCAGGGAAGGTTTGTTCTGGGAGAATTTCTGTTCTCACTTTGCTCCTGTTAGTCTGAGCAGTTAAATACAGTAGAGATGAGCACCATTGGGAAAGCCCTGTCTCAGGAGAGCAGGTAAGTGTGTTAAGTAGGCACAGACACCCAAAAAAGCTGATAATCTTTTGTTCCTTCCACCTTGGAGAGAGCGTGGAGGCAGGCATCCTTCCAGAGCAGGACAAGAAAAAACTTAAAAAATAGAATGAGGCATTTGCACTTGTTTGCTTGCAGGCAAATGTCACGTGAGAGAGAAAGAGAGAAATGAATTCTGTGCGTGGCAGGGGATTGCATTGACAGGCGGCGGTGGGGGAATGTTTACAGGATGGCTGGGCAATGTAGGGAACGCTGGAATTCGCATCTTGTTTAGATACTTTTGTTCTTGACCTTAACTTCAGGTTGTGTTTATGTTACACAGTACTGACAGCGTGTTGCTGTTCAGCAACTCGGCAGCTCTTTCATAGGTCGTTACCAAGGCAGATTATATATTCAGTGTGAGCCATTTAGTATTCACATAAAAATTACTGAGCTCGCTGCGAGCAGATTTTGGAGCACAAGTCTCGGGGCAGCGCAGCCTTGGAGGAAAGTTCAGCGCTTAGTGGCTTTACTGGTATGGCTCCCGCCGATCTGTCATAACTTGATTTAAAGCTTTCTTCTGGACCTAGTTATGACCCTGCCTGCAGGTTAAAACTTGTAATTTCCAAGTGTTCTCCTGATTTTATCACTACACACTTAACTGTGTTGCAGTTCAATTTTTGGCTGTGTTATATCTGAAGTCTGTTTGCAATTATCTGAGAGAAGCTCTCACTGTTAAAAAACATTTCAGGCTTTATTCCCAGTTATATCTGTCATGCGCTGGAACAGGACAGGCACAGAGAAACCTAGGCTGTAGATGAGCTATTTCTTTTAATCCAAAACTCAGTCTCCGCCCATGGTGTGAATTGGGGATGGAAAGAGGGATTTTTGCTGTGGAAGTGAGTTCATCCCGAACCCCAGCTTTAAAGGATTCTTGACACCACCGTAAATTATTATTCTCAGGTGGGAAACCTTTAACATGCTGGAATAGTTAAATTGTGTAACACGAGCAACAGGCTTTGAGATTTTGTAACATAAAAAGTATTAATAAGTAAATCGACTGTAGTGGTCTTCATATTTGTTGCAACAACATCACGTGCTCTTCTAAGAAAGCAGCAGCAAGATGAGGTTTGCAATGGTTCCTGTGTCAATCCCAGTGTGATTTTATTAACATGCCTTGTATTGATTCTGCGTCTTCTTCAGTCAAATAATGGATTGTTCTTTAATGTTATTTCCTGTAATTATTAGAGCTTTAAAGTACTCAAATTAGCATGATTTAAGCACCTGAAGTTGACTGGCAACTTTATAAGCAATCTTTTTTTCAGATGGGAATGCCTGCCCTGGTGGTTGATAGTCAGTTGATGCTATAGAAAGTGTAATCAAACTTCATATAAGAAACAATACTAGAATGAGATTTAGGTTGCTGTACAAATAGTGGCTGAAGTAGAATGAAAATAGCTGCAGTGGTTCTGATGAGAGGTTAAATGGGTCTCAGTAATCCTTAATTCCAGTAACACAGCCACCTGAGAAACTACTGAAAAGTCTCATTTTATCAGAGAAAGAAAATGGGCCCTACAAAGTGGTTTGTGGCAGTATTTTTAAACATACTGTCAATTTGTGTGTTTTTTCTCAAAATTCCTTAGCAGACTGAGCCACTGCCCTGCCTGGGCTTGCTGCTTTGTGCATGGAGCATCCCCCTTTTTTTTTTTTTTTTCCTTTCTAAGCGCGTCTCGAGTCACTTTGTTGCTTCTGAAACTCATGAAGCACAATCAAAAATAGCAGTTTTCTTCTAATCTGAAGCCCGAAACGTAGAATAACCCTTAATTTAAGAAGTGACTTCAGGAATGTATGGGTTATTTTAAAATGGATGCTCAGAAGAGGCCAGTGTAATTAAAAACAGAAATAAGAACAAGTATAAACTGAAACATCATAGTTCCCTTTCTGACTTAGAATTGTATTTGAGATTAGTTTACTGGTTATGGCAGACTAATTTAGTTTGGGGTTGCTGGTGTAGTTTGTTCCAGTTTTAGCTTGGGGTTATTCAAGTTCTTTTGGGTACAGCTTATGCAACAGAAAGCTGGGTTTGGCCGTGTACTGTTGGTAAAAAGCCGTGTGATTTGGAGAGGTTGGGAATTTGCTCCCTGAGATGACTCAAGATTAATCATTTTGTAGCTTTTTGGAGTATTTCAAGTTAGAAAGCAATTGGGAACGGCTGCCATAGTCACTTCTTGGTTTTCATTCATGAGCATGTAAAGGACCTACCAATTTTAAATCCCATGGTAAACACAAAAAGGGTTCCCCTCTCCCCCCCCCGTTTTATCATTTAGTAAATAATAAAACTGGAAATTCTG